CCCCGGATATATGGTGTTGATATGGTAGGTATTGAGATATTTGACTTCCCTACCATCTGAATGTATGTTTGTGTGTGTGTGTGTATATTACATAACATAAACATTTTTCAGAAAACCTTCTGAGGTTTTGGAACATGGGAGAAGGAGGAACAAAAAGGAAATAATATTCGTTGTGTTATTTAGAAAAGAAAATTTGGGCCAAGGGATTCATGTAAAGTCAAGTTTGATATTATACTGTTAAGTGCAGTCTTAACTGATTCATTTTTCTCTGCAGATCAGATACGCTGCTACTTTGGTGAAACCATCGCGCTCTACTTTGGCTTCTTAGAGTACTTCACATTTGCTTTGATTCCAATGGCTGTCATTGGGATTCCTTATTACGTGTTTGCATGGGAAGACTATGACAAATATGTGATGTTTGCCACATTCAATCTGCTCTGGTCCACTGTGATACTGGAAGTTTGGAAGCGGATTTGCGCCATCATGACATACCGTTGGGGGACGCTGTTGATGAAGAGACAGTTTGAAGAACCACGACCAGGCTTCCATGGTGTCCTGGGTATCAATCCTGTCACTGGGAGGGAGGAACCAGTGTACTCGAGTATTAAGAGACAGATACGGATTTATCTGGTGTCCTTACCATTTGTGTGCCTTTGCCTCTACTTCTCACTGTACGTGATGATGATTTACTTTGACTTGGAACAGTGGGCTCTGGATTATCATGAAGAGAATGAGTCTAAATTCAGCAGCTTGATGCTCTTTGTGCCCAGTATCATATATGCTGTTGTGATTGAAATTATGAACCGTATCTATCGGTATGCTGCTGAATTCTTAACATCATGGGGTAAGAAAGTTGTTTATTCTTCTTCCCTAAAATTAGAATCCCAGATGTTTAGAATTTGTTTCTTTGTAGAATACATTACTGTGAGTTCTTGTTCAATGGAAAGCTAAAGAAATTTCCTGAAGTAGATTTTTACTGTGGCGTAAAAGAGATGGCCATTTTAGTTTCCTACATTTATTTTAGTGTTCTGAGACTGCAGTTTCATGTTTGGTTTAATTTGGTCTGAGTCTAGCATGCTGTCAAAAGGGGTGATCCTGCCTTCCTCCTCAGCCTCTCTCTGCTATTGGTGCAGAAGTCCCCCTTCCCCAATTTACCTCCTTGTTTGTCTGTATCTGCCATAGTGCTGGCAAAAGGGATGAGGTGAGACTGTGAGGATGGGAGCTCAAAGGTGTATGGCAGGAGGGGCTGTCCTGGCAGCTTGCATCCACAACTGAGTTTGCTGAATACATCTTTGTCTACTGATATATCTGTGCAGAGGACAGAGGCACTGAGATAATGGAACAAAATCTAAAACCACTAGCTAAATGTCATATGAGAGTATTTGTGTATGCTATATATATAACAAAGACTAAGAATTCACATCCCTATCAAAATATTTTCCTCTGGGCACTCTCAGAAGAGAAATGTTACAATAGATGGTCTTGTTTTCCATGTGCATGTGACTTATTCAACAGTGGGCCCTATGTTTTGTAATCTAACATGAAGATAGTGAAATATTAGTATTTGTTTTGAATTTTAGCAGTTCTATATACATGTGCAGTCAATTTCACACAAAGTTAATAGATGAAGCCAAGGGGAAGTTAAGTGGTTTGTGTAGCTCAATATGGCATACGTTTACAGGACAGAATCCAGGTTACTAAAGCTGGAGGCCCAGAAAATAAACCTGAGAAAGATTAAGCAAAAGGGAGATTGATGCCGAAGACAGAATAAAGAGAGATGTTGAAGTGGGGGCTGGTTATGCGTGCCAAAATGATTTGCTCAGCAAATTCAACTTGACAGCAGCAGTAGTAAAAGCAAGCAATTTCTTGATTTGTTTATGACTGTTCAAGGGGTTTTATCTAAATAATGACTTTTAATTTCATATCTAAGTTTCAGTTGACTGTTCTGTTTAATTTTTTTTACTGTATTGCAAGACAAAGCCTTTATGCAAAATGCCCAGTTGTGTTGATCAGGTAGACTAAAATGTCTTGAACAAGTAATCCCAAATTTGTTTTTAACATGGATTTTTTGGATTTAAGCTGATGTTTATATTCAGCAGCAACAGTATTTATTTAACTCACTACACTGATAGCTTGTGTCTTTTTGTGCTATCCAACATGTGTATGCTGCCATGGTGTGAATAGGATGAAGAGCTGATCTGGCTCTCCTCCCAGCTGGCATATTTTCAGCTAAGATCTGACTTAAACAGCTAAACAGGCAAAGCATAGGGAAGAATCGGGGGTTTTTTTAAGGACACCTCTTGCATGCATTTATCATGAGAACTGATTGTTTAGTGAAAGCTAAAAGTAAGAAATTGCATTCTGTCCCTTGAGTGCATCTTGCATGTGTCAGGCCCAACTTCATGCCTTTCAGAGTAGAACTCTGCTATTCTGTCCTCAGCGAGGTCCGTAGGTGACGGTCTTTCCTTTCAGCCTTGTTGGCACAGCTCATGCTAGTGTGCTGCCTCCACAGTTACTGCTTAGCCAGGGCTTTAAAGGTACAATCTGACAAAATAACAAAAAGAAATGGGAAATCTCCCATTCACTTCCCTTTCCTTCCATCTAGTAACCAGTCTTCCTCAAACATCAGCGTCTGACAGTTTATCTTGAATGAACTGAAAAAATCCTAGTTTTAGAATGAGTAATGCATCTGTTGAACTTTGTGTACTCTAGTCTTGCTTTAGAGCTTGGGGTCTGACCTAAATTCCTTAGTGATGGATGGGAGTATTTCTGTGAACATCTACTGGTTTTGAATCAAATCTGGTATTGTTATTTTTCATAATGTATTCCAATTAGTTTTGCATTTGTTCAGACAAAGAAAAACTGGGCACATTTTATTAAGTGTTAAGAATGATGGATGTTTTTTCTGTTATAAAACAGCTCTTCTGAGAAAGAAAGATGTAAAAGGAAAAACCTTTGCAGTAGAAAAAATACCAGAGTTGTAGCCAAAAATATGTATGTCAATATTGGGCATCAGGTTAGCTTTATAGGTTAAGCGAGATACTGGTACAGTATGAATTATTTTTGCTATAATGTGTTGGAAGAACCATTCCCCATAAACTATTAGCTTAGTTTTTAGATGGAGGAAAAATGCCTGTTTACGCTTTATATAGCAATGTCTAGTGTATCATAAGTGCTTCTGCTCTTCACTAATCAATAATTTTGTCTGTATTTTAGAAAATCACAGACTGGAATCTTCGTATCAGAATCATTTAATTCTGAAGGTTTTAGTGGTAAGTATGTGGCATAAGCAGCTTTTAACATTATTTAAAAAGAGCACTTGTCATGTGTTTTATTAGTGCTTTCCAGACGTTACCTCGCTGACTTACAATTTTGTTCATGGCCAAATACTACCACAAATATCAGAGCAAGCAGGATTTCTGTTGTGGTTGCAGTAACTGCTAGACTGTTTTGGATGCCTCTTTTTATAGTGGAGAGTTGAGTTTTTATTTGTATTGATTTGTTCTTTCATTAGGATACTGTATCTCTAAGTTTTTCTGTTAATTGATGTGGCCCTGTCTTCAACTGGGAACTATTCCTTTAACTTTTTGCGAGATTTTATGGTTAAACGTATTTTTAAAAGTTCATGTATTAACTTCCACCTGTACTAACATTCAGATAAGGCTGGAGATACATGTCCATCAATCTGCTCCTATACCCTTTATAGTATATACTGATCTATTTACTTTGTGGCACTGAACAAGTAGCATTTGTGTGTGTATGTATATATGTTTGCTTGCTCTTTTAGGTGTATATCCAGATGCAACACTGATTCTAAGAAACCGTACTGTAAATCTTGAATTCCCATATAAGATGTTCAGTAAAAGCAGTTGTAAAGATTGGCTGATTTTGAGATTTATTCTTGTTTCCTTTTTGAAAAGATTGTTTAATTCTCTTCCAGAGTTCCTTGTTTTTTTCCTCATCATGCTTTTTTTTTTTATCTGCTTGTTATCTTTTAGTTACTTGGTAATCTCTAGAGTTAAAACTAGAGATTTTTTCCCATAGGAAATTTATATAAAATAATTTTTAAAAATTATGAAATGTCAAATGCAAGCTGCCCCCCCCCCTTCACCCTATGAGTTGCTCTCTGCACTCCCCAATTTTTTCTGTGTTGTCCATGAGCTCCAAAAAAGGAGCTCCAGCATTGATAGCAAGTAGAAAACTTCAGTAGGAAACTGATTATGGTTTTTCAGGTACAATACTGTGATTATGTCTCATTTTAGAAGTAGGGAATATTTCTCTTGGTCATAAAACCTCTTGATTAAACATATAGCTCAACTAACATATTGAGGAACAGTTGTACATATTGAGAGAGATGTCTTCCAACACATATATTTTGGTAAAGTATTACTTTGAAAAAAAGCATTACCCTAAATTAAGATCAATATGTCCCTTTTATTGCATTACCTGTGGGGAAACTCCCAAAAGCTGAAAGTTAAGTAAAAGGTGATGTGTTTTTAATGTCCACATTTCATAACTGAAGTGTAGTTCTCTTTGTATACTGTGCTTTAAGAAAGCATTAAGCCTGTCAAATGAAAATCTGAATCAGACTGATACTGAAAAAGTTTCTGACTCAAGTTTTAAAAATGGTAAAGAAAATTTTAATGAACAGTTTACATCTGCATGGAAGCTATTTAGTCAAGGTAACTGTTAAGTTAGATTGTATTCTGCATTTGAACTTTTGTGTGAGTACTAATAAAAAATATTTTTATTTGTAGTTCAACTTCTTAAATTGTTTTGCATCTCTCTTCTACATTGCCTTTGTGCTGTTTGATATGAAGCTTTTGAGGCAGGTGAGTTCCAAGAATATCTTAAGAATGTTGTTGAATCTAGGAAAATTAAGGATTGATTGAAACAGGACTTTATTTTTTAATTGTTTTTCAAAAATATTAACTTGACAATGAATATATTTCATATATATTTTCTTAGAAACCCAGTTTCCATATTTCAGTTCCTCTAGCACAGTTGCAGAATCATAACAGAGTGGAGCAATTCTTTCCCTCTATATAAATAAGGAACTGTTTTCAAATAATTGATTATTCCTTCACACAGATGAGGTTAGAAAGTTTTCATTTGTTCCTTCTTTCCCTTTATGTTAGAAAATTGATTTCTCTGTACTGTCCTTAATAAGGGACTCTTGAGGATAGGGGAATGATTAAGTTTATGAATACAATGAGGAGCTGAGAACAAATAAAAGCAAAAATAATTTGTGGTTGGTATTTTAAATCAGCTTTCTGTTGTTAACATCTTTCAGGCTCAAATGCATGAAAATCTGGTATAAGGAGAATATTTTTGCTTTAAATCTAGTGAACAAAACAACAAGAGCTTCAAGATCTCTGTTCCTCTAAAGAGATCTCTAGCAAAACACTTGATGTATGTATACCAGACATGACATTCATGAAAATTCCTATATTTTAAGGTAAACAGCAAGGAAAAAAAATAGAAAAAAGTTCATTGTTTAGCTTTGTGATTGGTGTTTGCATATGTTAAGTGTGTATCTTTACCTTTCATTGGACTTTGCATACTGTCTCCAAGATACATCCAGATCTGCACAATATTTAGACATCTAACTCCTATTTTGTCCTTTTCAGCACATAGCAAAGGATGGGAACTAGAGCAGCTCTACTTTTCATACGCTATTTCTAATTTTGTTAGGCTGGCCTTCTTTTGTCATAGTATAATAACAGTGTTACTAGAATGCAAAAAATTGGAAATGATCATGGGTTTACCACAGTTCTATTAATTTTTACTTTTTTTTTTTTAACTTAAGAGCTTGGCGACTTTGCTGATAACTTCGCAGATCCTTAATCAGTTTGCAGAATCCTTGCTTCCTTACTGGCTCCAAAAGAGACATAAGAAGAGGATGAAGAAACGCATGTGTTTTCTGAAAACAGATACGGACCTGTCATTAGTCGAACAAGTCAACTTGGAGAAAGAAATGGGCACTTACTTTGTACGTTTCACTGTTGTAAAAGAGTTAAAAGTTTCTGGGCTGTATTTGGCAGAGACATCAGCCAGTGCAACCTAAAATATTTCTGGCTGGCTGTCCTGGTAGCGTATTTCCAGCTTCATCAATTTTACTGGTAGTGTTGTTTGTACATCTATATGGTGCACTGGATCAAGAAACTAATACAGTGCAGGATCCCAGTCACACCACCGCAAAGGGGTAGGAATGAACATCTGAATCTGGAGCCACCTAACCCCGTATCACTGGAAGAAGTATTTGTGTAATACGCCCTTAACTTCCAAGGGTAGCCTGAAGACTACGAGGATGGGTAGTCTGAAGGCTGTGAGGATGAGTAGACTGGCACAGGGAACAGGGAGGCTGTTGCTGATTTAGTTTGTTTTTGCAATGATACTGTTTAAACTGAGAGAGTGTGCTTCTGTCTGGGTGGGGCCAGAAATGGAGAGGGCAAGAAGAGACCAACTCTTCAAAGCAATACTACTGCTGGAAGCTCTTGCTTCCTGAAACTACAGCTGTGGCATTCGCTGTCTTTCTAGTTCTGTACCTGACCACCTCTTACGCAGTATAATTCTTAATTGTATTTAACAGATTCCATGTGATTCATTACTTGCAGTTCTAAAGGAATTGACAAAGTAGATGTTACTCTGTGTGTGTGTGTGTGTTAAGGCCTTGTAGACTGGCTGACAACTTGATCAGATGCTGCAGGCATAGACACAAGAGGCTTAAGACGGTATGATTTATACTTTTCACAGAATAAGAATTATATGTAGATAGTGTACCGTTTATGTAAAAGGTAGAGAATAGCTGTTTGAAATTTGGCATTAATACCGTGTAAGATTCCTCTCTTCCTGCATAAAGTGCCATGAAATGGAAAGAGGGAAAAGAAATACTACCTTTGCAGTTGAAAACTGGACAAAGGTTAGTACTTACATTCCTCCTTGGAATTTTATATGGGGGGAGATAGATTTAGAGAGCATGTCTATCCTTCAATGGAGGACACAGCAGAAATCTCCAAGTTAGAGCCTGTCTGGAGTACTAAATCAGCACAAGTCTAGCAGTGTGCCTGCAAATAGCCCAGCATAGCTCCAAAAGCTGTGTCTTGGCATCAGGTGTTGATAGGCCTGACCAAATAAGCTCTACCTTTTAGACCTGAGCTGACTTCTGATTTTCAGCTGGCACATACAACGCCAGTGTGGTGTCTTTTGAGTCACATTGCTCAGTGCTTCTTGTGCAGAGTTGGATCAAATGTGTCTGCACCTGTTCTAGGGTTCTGCCCTGAGTAGTTTTCCGTGGGGAACCAATAGGTCAATTGTAGATTTATGACTTTGCCTTGGAAGTGTCCAGTTCTAGCCTCAGGTTCAGTTCATGGTACTGTGTACTCAAAGCCTTAATTTTATTTTCAGTCTAAAGATTTTAATTGTGCTGTGCTTGTGAATGAATACACAATATTAGACCACTGATTTGTTTGCAAGCAGTGAGCTGTCAGCAGGCAAGAGTATTTCTAAAACTAAATCTGTCACAAGGGGGAAGCATTTGACTATCTTTAGTAGCTGAGGTGTTTAGCAGGACTCTTGACAGAATTTGATGTTTCAGACTCTTTTCCTTCCTCCACTTACTCTTTAATTCTCTTTTTTTGGTTGTCCTTTTTCTCTCACACTTTTCAAATCTCTAGCCCTTAGCCTGGTTTAAGATGTAAAAATAACCTGCAGTCATTTTTAAACTTGTTAAAAAGATTTCTGCTTCTGTAGCTCATTCTCCCTGAATGTCTTTGTTGATTCTGTTTCCTTGATGCAGTGATTTATGTGCTGCTCTTGTGGCTGACAATGGCACACTCTGAAATTTCTTTAACATCCTATCAAGACTCCTCTTTTCCTGTACAAAGTGTCATAAATTGAGTAGGAGAAAAACAAATACTCGTTTTCTTTTCATACTCTGCTGTTCTAAAGGTCAGTAGGTCCTGGGCAAGGAAATAAGAAAGGTGTGGGGAAGCAATGGGAATACTGTGCGGTTACCAGGAGGAGGAGCACAAAGGGAAGCATCGCTCCCTCCCTGCAACAGCTGTCTGAGAAAGTGATAGCAGGGACAGATATGTGACTGCCACTCCAGTGAATGATCCCGCACAAATGTCCCTAAGGAAGACCTTAATAAAATTCAGAGTTCGTAGAAAATGTTTCTGTGGAAAAATCTCAACGTTTTTAAAAGTTAGATAGCTCCTTAGGGTCTGGCCTGCAGATCAGTTTGTCAGACTCGGCTACACTGCACAACCTGAAGATGTGCTTAAGTAAAAAATGCAGCTAAAGAGCACCCCATGTTGACTTTGCAGCTTGCAGGCTTCTACTGCCTCTCTCTGTTTGCTAGAAAGAGAGCACTGGGTGCTGGAGAGGGCAGTCAGTTTAACAGCTGTAATCAGCAAAAAAAATTAGAGAACCATGTGTCTGATGCAAAAACCAGTTTTAAGTGGTTCCTGTAATAATCTCAGTTACTGTCTGTCGTGGTTTAGCCCCAGCCGG